TACTGGGCCCCTCCAGAGAGAAAGCATTATTTGTTGAAAGAAGCCGGTTGCTTTCTCTGCTCCATTCAGCCAGGCCACACCCCTGACTCAGACCACACGGGCAGTAAGAGAGGCCAGCAGCTGACCTGGGCAGAGCTGAGAGTTGAATGTGGCCGCCCATCTTTCACCTACATGGTCAAGCCACGCAGCTGCCCCAGGCCCAGTTGACCCAGTCAGCAGCAGGAGACTCATGAGGGATCTCAAAAACAAGCCAAAGCAAGCAAGTCTGTAGGCCACGCCTTCCTGTACCACAGACACGTGGAAGGATGTCACCCCCATGGACCACCCCGATGGCCTCTCATCCTTTGGCCATTTGCCAGACATTGGAAGCACCACTCCTGGCCCTGAGCCAGAAGCAGCAGCATGCCTGCAGGGGAGGCAGGGCTGTTGTTAATCTGGGGACCTACTGGTGGGGATCCTGGGCGTCCTTAAAGGTCCAGATGTCAAGTGTGTGTGCTGTTTGATAGAGAAAAGGTCTAGAGTTTTCATCAAATTTTCAAAGACGGGGAAGTCCTCGCTCAAAGAAGGTTAAGAATCACTGTCTTAGAGGCCAGCACTACTTATAGCTGCTCTGTTGAGGGTTTTGAAAAAAGTCCATTTAGTAACATTAATTCAAGAAAAAGCTGAGTTGTTCTCCATACTGGCTTAATGCTGAGGGCTGGAAACGCAACAGTGAGCATGACCCGATGCTATCTGTGTGTCACTGAGGAGCCTAGATATAAATAAAATAATCACAAATGTGTGTCCTATCTCAAATCAAGTATTGCTATGAAGGAAAGGAACCTGGTTCTATGACAGATATAGCAGTGGATGAACAGTTTTTTGTTTTTGTATATTTATTTTTAAACAGGTAATATATTTACATTCAAAAAATTCAAAAGCATTATGTAGTCAAAAATCCACCCCCATGCCTACCTTTATCCCACAGCCACTCCCTGCAAGCCATGAGTGTTTTACAGACTGATAGATAGATCTCCTGCTGTTAGACCAGGGGTAGAAGAGAAAATTTACCTGAAAATATGAAGCTTGAAATGAAACTTGAAGCATGAATGTGAGTTAACTAAATGAAGAGGACTGGAAACAAAGAGGGGAGGCACAGAGGCAACAGTTTGTGCAAAGACCCTGTGGTAGGAAACAGCGTGATGTATTAGAAGAACTAAAAGAAAGCCTGTGTAACTGGAGTGCAGAGGGCAAGGGGAGGGGTGGTACAGGGTGCTGCTGGGTGGGGAGGGCGAGGATGCCTCCCTGCAGCCTGCTTAGCACTATGGACTTTTCCCTAAGAGCCCTGGGAAGCCACTGAATGATGAGGGGAGATGACCTTCCATCATACTTGTATTTTGAACATTTCACCCTGGCTATAGTATGGAGAACGGACTGGAAGGGAAAGCAGTTAATGGGCTTTTATTTAGCTCAGGTGAGATATGGTGTGGCTTGGTGACAGTGATGTAGCTGTTTATTTTGTGAGAAGTGTATTGGTGTGCAAGGTTCTTGCTCCCCAAAAATGTTAACAAAACATTTGTTTTGATTCTCTCCACTGAGTGGGATAAAAATCCCCAGCAAGTGTTTACTCAGAATGTAGTTAACACCTGGTTATATTTTGTCCAAGCATGTGGCCACACTGACAGGATAATTTAGCATCCTATAAGAGGTTAATTGATGAAGGGCTGAGGTCTCATAGAACCTTGCTTGAAGTCACTGGTTCAGCCCCACCCCATCCGAGCACCCCAAAGACACCTCTCCTCTGCAGCAGCCCTCCAGTGGCAGGAGGGTGTTATTGTTACAGGGTCATAACAGAATGACCACGTGGGTGACGTTCACTAATTAGGAAACAGATAATTAAAACACCTTATGGGTGTAGTGGTTTCGGTGTCCGTACACCTAAATTTCCTTCTCTTCTGATCCCCCAGAATGGCTTATTCAGAGGAGCAAGGAGGCGTCCCCTGTGGTTTCATCCGCCAGAACTCCGGCAACTCCATTTCCTTGGACTTTGAGCCTGACACGGAGTACCAGTTCGTGGAGCAATTAGAAGAGCGCTACAAATGCGCCTTCTGCCGCTCGGTGCTGCACAACCCCCACCAGACGGGCTGTGGGCATCGCTTCTGTCAGCACTGCATCCTGTCCCTGAGGTGAGTGGGCAGGACGGCTGCTCCACTGCAGCCGTGGTGTCGGGAATCATCGCTGTGGTTGGCCACAGAACCATGAATGTGAGGAGGGGCTCTCCCAGGGCTCTTCCCTGGGAGCCTGAGGAGTGATCTTCATCTTTTCCGCTCTCTCAGTGATAGTCACCTTTTCTTAAAACTCAGCCCACATCTGTTTGAACCCAGGTGCATGGTCTGTGCGGGGAAGGGAGGACCTGCATCTTAGGGAGGATCTTTGCTGTAGGCACCTTGACTTTTCCTTGCCTTAAGGCGGAGATGCTGTCGCATCCAGAAGGCTCCTTGCTGCCGTGGATGCTGTCTGCTCCTGGGCAGCTGTAAACCTGGGTCATGCCATTTTGTGGGTGGAGACCAGGAGAGACGTGGAAGCAGGCTTCGGGGGCTTATCCAGGGGCACTAGGGAAGTTGTACTCCACCAATCTTGGAAAGGGAGTTATTACAGCACGTTATCATTCATTCCTGGGTTCTTCATTGAGCACCTGTGTTCCAGGCACCTTGCTAAACTAAGCTCTGATGTACGGAGGTGAAGAGCTAGAGGTCCGATGTGAAACAGGACCGTCCAGAATCTTCCGTTCTTGTGAAGGGGACAGGTTGTGGTACAGTGTGATAAGTGTAGGACTGCCCTGGGAGCGTTGGCAGAGGACGTTTGACTCTATCTAGGGGACTCGCTCTTCGACTTGCATCTTGGAGGATGGAAGGGAGTTTCTCAGGTGGACGGGGGAGGTGCTGAAATTGGGGTGCTGAAGGCCCTTCTGGAAGGAGGGAACAGCATGAGCAAAGACAGAGCCTGGCCTGCTCAGGGGGAACTTCAAGAGGTCAAGCGTGGCTGAAGTGCTGGGGCTGCTCTCGGATGGGCTGTTGAGGTCAACCTTTAATTCTGGCTTCATTTTTATTTTTCTTTCCAGAGAATTAAACGCAGTCCCACTCTGCCCTGTAGATAAGGAGGTTATTAGACCTCAGGAGGTAAGACAATCACTGCTTTGGTTTAGCAGCTCTCTGGGTGATGGAGTGGCCAGTGTCCTGGGTTGAACTGGACAGAGAGGTTGGAGCAGGAGAGCAGGAGGGGGACCGTCCTCAGAGTCCGTGTTTCTTCTCCCAGTTCCTCATTACCTTCTTCTATACTAACTCGTTACAATGAGTTGCTTGCAGAAATGAAACATCCCATGTCCTGGAATTCACTTTCCCATCTGTTTAATCTCAGAATCTTTCTTTTATTATTATTATGTCTAACAGTAGCTTTATTGAGATCTAATGCACATGCCATAAAATTTGCCTTTAAAGTGTACAAGTCTTTTGGGTATGTGCCTAGGAGTGGAATTACTGGGTCACGTGGTAACTCCATGTTTAACATTCTAAGGAATGTTTTCCAAAGCAGCTGCACCATTTTACATTCCTACCAGCAAGGTATGAGAGTTCTAATTTCTCCAGATCCTTGCCAAAATTTGATGTTGTCCATCTTTTTGATTATAGCCTTTTTAGGAGGTATGAAAAGGTATCTCACGGTTTTGATTTGCATTTCTCTGATGATTAGTGACGTTAGGATTTTTCCATGTCCTTGGCCATTTGTCTATCTTTTTTTGTAGAAATTCCTATTCAAAACCTTTGCCCATTGTTTTAAGTGGATGATTTATCTTTTATTGTTGAGTTCTAGGAGTTCTTCATATATTTTGGATGTGTCTCTTAACAGATGTATGATTTGCAAACATTTTTCTCCCATTCCGTGGTTGTCTTTTCCCTTCCTTGATAGTGTCCTTTGAAGCACAGATTTTTCATTTTTAGGAAGTCTTACTTACCTTTTGTTCATTTGTTTTGATCACCTGTTCTTTTAGTGTTGAATTTAAGAAACCATTACCTGACCCATGGTTGTGAAGATTCTCTCCCTTAAAACTTCCTTTTAATCTCAGTTTTCTTCCTTCAAAATTTTGTTACAGGACGTTCAAGCATCACCTCCTCCAGGAAGTTCCCTGAGTGCCTAGTCTGATGTCCATGCTCCCTTTCTATGCTCTTATGAGACATTTTTCAAATTCCTAGCAGAGGACAGTGCTGTCCTTGTGTCTGCCTCACCCGCCAGGCCAGGGGTGGGCACTTTAAAAACATGGGATTTGTTGGGACACATCCAGCCCACCACTTGTCTTTGTATGGCCAGTGAGCTAAGCATGGTTTTTATATTATTAAATCATTGAAAACAATCAAAAGAAGGGTACATAGGAACCCTGTACTACCTTCGCAACTTCTTGTGAGTCTTTATTTCAAAATAAAAATTTGTTTTATAAATCAAAAGAAGAATAATGTTTGGGACATGTGAGAATTATATGAAATTCACATTTCAGTGTCCATGAATAACGTTGTATTTAAGTATTGTGTATGGCAGATTTGAATAGTTGTAACAGAGAACTATGTGGCTGCAACGTGGCTGGCAAAGCTGAAAATATTTACTGTCTGACCCTTTATAGAGAAAGTTTGCCAACCCCTGGCTTGTGCTTAAATACAAGGCAGCATGGCTTCGGTGACACTACCTGATGACTAATACATTTACCCTGGGACAGGAAGCTGAAAGCATCACCCTCAGCCACAGCCCCACCTCCTGACCTTTGCACATGTGGGGTCAAGTTCATGAGATTCTTCTAGCTTCAGCCTCCTACACTAGGCATTCAATTACCTGGCTTGTATGTTTGGTGGCCTGTCAGATGTAGCTGAGCCAGCCTTTTCCTTTATGGTGGTGTAGCTGATATTTATTTCCATTCCAACCACTGACTGGAAGTTTCCATCTGACTTCTGAAATGTACTTGAAGATCAATTTAATAATAGCTTCATTCACTTTGCTCTAAAGCTTTGAAGTAAGACCTATTATGTTTATCTTTTAGGTGTTTAAAGACAATTGCTGCAAAAGGGAAGTCCTCAATTTATATGTATTTTGCAAAAATGCTCCTGGATGTAATGCCAAGATTATTCTGGGACGATACCAGGTTGGTATTACCCATGAACAATATTTGCCTTTGCCATTTTTCCACTGCATGTGTTGAACACCCTTTACGTGACAGTTACGGGGCTAAGCATGGTAAGGGGATGTCATTGGGTTACCCTCAGAGAATTCCTGTCTAGCAATACAGTTGGCTACAGTGCGGCCCACCAAGGGCTAAGGTGTGAGTCAAGAGGTGCATTCTGTGTGGGGCACACGCAGGACACGCCGTGTGTGCTAGACCTTAAATTGTGGGTTAGGGATCATTGATCCATAAGAGGAGATGTGGGACATGCTGGGCAAAAGGAACAGTCAAGCAAGGTCATGTCATTTTTTGGAAAACTGTGAAGGATCTGGGGTCCCTAGGGTGGGAGCCAGGGCATGACTGCAGAATGACACGATCGTAAGGGTCCCGGCCCCGAAGCATTTGCAGGTGTTGGGTGAGTGTTTCCCAGCCGCTGTGGGCTTCTTAGAGGCCGTGATCTAAGGCGGGTAGCAAGCACTGGTACGAGATGCAAACAAACGAGGTGAAAAGGAGGTGGAAGGGAGTCGAGTTCCTTTCAGATGAAACTGCCCTACCTTGTTACTGTGAAGCAGGGAGTGTGGCTCTTCCGTAGCAGGCCCCTGTCAGTTTCGATCATACTACGAATGAACATGAGGCCGGCATCTCTAGCTTCCAGGGAACTGCGTGGAGGCTGTGCAATTTCCCCCTCCCACCCACACATTTTGGAATGTATTTCAGGTGATTCAGCCTTTTCCCCATCCTGCCTCCAACCCCCCAGGCACCAAGCTCATAAATGTTCGTGAATGATTTCTTTGGAAGTTCATGGAACATTTTTGTGATTTCCTAAGACAGTCCCTCCCCACTTGTTCTGATAGTCAGGTCCTAGAGCAGGGCCTCTTCACCTGCTTTGTTGTCACCGAGCCCGAAAAGGAAATGAGGCTCAAATGGATCATGGACCAGCTTTAGTGACCAGATCATCAGCTTCTACAGAACAGTGGCTGGTTTCTTCTCTTCACCCGTTTCTTTCGTATTTTCATTCCCTGTTCTCTGCCACTTTGCGTGGTAAGGCGAGAGATCTCAGAGGTAGCAGAGTCTTAATGAATGCTGACAGTTTTGGTGAGAGCTGAGGGGTAGCATCCATGAATTTTGGAGAAGATGTAGATTTCAGTTGTCACTATGTGTCTCTTATTACTAGACGCCAAGGAGAATAGCTGTAAGTATTTACCTCCTATGGGAAAACTGTGCTGTTTTTTTTCCCTTCAGAGAAGGGAGTCAGCAAACTTTTTCTGCCAGGAGCCAGATAGTAAATATTTGCGGCTTCGCTGGCCCTCCCACGTCTGTTGCAGCTGCTCAGCTCTGCCATTTCAGGGGAAAAGTGGCCGAAAGCAGCTGTAGCTAGTATGTGAACAAATAGAAATAGCCGAGCTCTTCTCAATAAATCTTTACTCACAGAAGCAAGTATCAGGCCAGATTCGGCCCAAGGGCGGAAGCTTGCCAACCTCATTTTAAAGGATCTTGCAGAAGGACGTGCTCAGTAGGATTTTGATGACTTGTCAGCATCACAGTAACCCGCAGCGTTATCCAAAGATTTTGTTAAGACATGCCTGCTTTTTAAAAATCTGTAACATGAAGAACACTGGACTGAACACTGTGCTTGTCATCATTCTCTGATATTCTAGTTAAGAATATTTCCCGACTTTACAAGGCTGACCATCCCCCACTGCTCCTGGGCCTGTGGTCCTGTGTTCCTCCACCTCCTTTTCTGCTTCGGAACAGCTTCCTCTCCTTCCCTTTTCTTCCTTTGGTCCTTCCCCTTCCTTGACTGACTCAGGATGTGGCTGGCTCTTCTTGCTCTCTGTTCCAGGCTTTTACCACCTGCTGTGCAGTCCTTGCTGCTGGGGGTGGGGATGGAGGGTGCCCAAAAGAAATATAGAAATGTCGTTGAAGAACTGGTAAATTAATACGCAAGCCCAAGGGAGATATTCAAGGACTAGCCTGAGGATACAGGCAGGTTATTCGAGCATCTAAGATAAACTCGGCATTCCTCCTTCCTCACCCGTCTTCCCCTATCCTCCAAACAAGGCTGGCTTTCATAGCCTCAGCTTGGTTTGGGCAGCCCTCTCTGTGCCTTGTCCTCAGCAGAAGCAGGGGGGCAGCCCTGGGGACCCCACAGGCAGAGGATGTCTGCCCAGCCCTTGCAGTCCTCCCTCCTGCTGCCCCAAGTGTCCCCCCTCCCTCACTAGGCCTTGCAGCCGGCTGCCCCATCCCCCACTGCCCTGACTGATGGGTCCCCACCGGCCTGTTGTGATCTGTTCCAGGACCACCTTCAGCAGTGCTTATTTCAAGCTGTGCAGTGTTCTAATGAGAACTGTCGGGAGCCAGTCCTTCGCAAAGATCTGAAAGAGCATTTGAGCGCATACTGCCCGTTTCGAGAGGAAAAATGCCTTTATTGCAAAAAGGACGTGGTAGTCATCAATCTGAAGGTAAAAGAAAAGAAGAAAAAAATCCAAAACTCCTCTTGATGGGACTAAATTCTGCCTGCGTGGCCACAGTGAATCAGATGGGATGCCAGAAGCACTTTTCTGGATTTATTCTTGTACAGAAATAGACCTAAAGAATAACTTTATCTGAGGGTTCTGTAAAAGGCTAAATACCTTCTTGCTGGTAGGACTCTATTCATTTATCATTAGCAAAAATATTGTTTTTGCTAAATGTGAGTGTGCCCACAGTGATACTAGGGGGGTGACCAACGCTGTCTGTCCTCAGGATGCTGTGACCTAATTGGAGAGGAAGGATGCAGACAGAAGAAGAGGGCGTGGGGTACCTTTCACATGCGTCAAAGGAGCCATGCCAGGAACTCCCACAGTCTATCCCGTCAGTCCCGCGCCCTCTGACCTTCTTTGAAACAATAGGAACGTAGAATTGAACTGAATTGATTTACACCAAGAAAGCAGCCATCCAGAATCCTTTTTGGAATTAGGCCATACCTTCCTGTAGAGGGTAAACCACATAGCACAGATCCCCAAAGCGACACATGTGTGCACACTCCACGGCCATAGAGGGAACCTTTGGAAGCGAGATTGACTTTGTCTCAGCCCACTCTCTCTGTTCCAGAATCATGAGGAAAACTTGTGTCCCAAGTACCCGGTCTCTTGTCCCAACAAGTGTTTGCAGATTATTCCGAGAACTGAGGTAACTCTAAATAATTCTCTCAGTAGATTGTATGTAAGATAACGTTTTAGTAATCATCGTAGTGTGTGTTTGATAAAATCCCAAAGGCAGGGGCCCAAGGCTTAAATGATCCTCTTGATAACCATGTTTCTGTTTTCCCTTCCCCTTCCCCTGAGAATTCTGTTTTCACCTTAGCCCTCCCTCCCCTCAGCCTCAGTGTGGCTTTTTGCCTTCTGTTTCCTCCCTTCTCCCCAAGTGTCCCCCCTCCCTCACTAGGCCTTGCAGCCGGCTGCCCTGCTTGCTGCAGTGACACCACGTAGCAGCAGAGCCGGTGGTGAATCTCTATAGCAGAGGCTGTCCATTTCGCAGGTGGATGAACACCTTGCTGTGTGTCCTGAAGCTGATCAAGACTGTCCTTTTAAGCACTATGGCTGCTCTGTTAAGGTATGGACTAACTGTGTCTGTCTACACTCAACTGTATCATTTGTTTGTCGAGTTTATTTTACTCTGATTCCATTCGTGGTGCAGAAGGACATTTGCTTCTGAGAAACTTCAAGATCAGCATTGAATTAGTCAGGGTTCTCCAGAGAAACAGAACAAATAATCTATAAATACGCATACACACACACATCTATTTATACACATATCTAGATAGATATGTGTCCAGTTACCTCAACCAACAGATGAAGTAACTATGCTCAAAGAAATTGTGATATGTTTGTAACTTGTAAGTGGAAGAATTTAATCTTAGATAGATAGATAGATAGATAGTTAATTTATAATACCTAATACCAACTTTTTTGAGGTTTGGCTATGTCTATGATAATAAAACATGACCCCGCACTTTGACCTTGTAATTCTACTGCTAGGAATTTATTTCACAGATATCCTTTCATAAGTGTGTGGTGATTACACACATATACAAGCACACGTGCACACAAAAATATTTACAGTAGTCCCATCTTGTCCATGGGGGTTACATTTGAAGACCCCCCCCGTGGATGCCTGAAACCCTGGCTGGTACCACACTCTATATACTATGTTTTTTTCTATTCATACATACTTATGAGAAAGTTCAGTTTACAAATTAGGCACAGTAAGAGAGCATCTGACTTGCCAGCATCATTTAGGGCCATTATTGAATAAAATAAGGGTTGCTTGAACACAAGCACTGAAATACCACAACAGTTTATCTGGTCACGTAGACGGCTAAGTGACTACTGGGTGGGGACAGTCTATGGCCTGGATACCTAGACAACGGGATGACATCTGAGAAAGTGTGGGTGCCAGGGCCCTGAGGGAGTGGGGGAGGTCACTGGACCACAGGACAGAGCAGGACAGGGCAGGACGGCAGGACGGACGTTCATCACAGTATTCAGAATGGATTTGGGACTTATGAAATTGTTCATTTCTGAAATTTTCTATTTAATATTTTCAGACTATGATTGACCACAGGTAACTGAAACCACAGAAAGTGAAACTGTGGATAAGTGGGGACTACTGTATATAGCAAACAAAAAACAAAAACCACAAAAAAATGAAAAACAACCCAAGTCCATCACTAAAGTACTGAGTATATAATTATGTGTTCATATTTTGGAATACTATGCACCTGATAAAAATAATGAGGTGTATATATTTTTAAAATTAAATACAGTGTGATCTCACTATGTTAAAAATGTATATATATCTTCACTGACTCTGGTGAGTGAGACTAGGGAATTGGGTGTGGGAATGGAGAGAAGGGAGCTTTTTTTACTTTTCATTTTATATCATTTTGTATTGTTTGACCTAAGAATGTATTTCTCTTATTTTAAAAAACTCTTTGAAAAAAGGTGTATTGTAAGAAACCTTTTAAAAATGTCAGTGAAGAGTCCATAAATTTGTCATATATCAAACCACTGATTGTCTTGGCTACAAAAAGGATAGGGTTTCCCTTTTTCATGCATGAAATTCAGAATTGCTTTCCAGCTTGGAAAGGAATCTTCTCGACAAGTAGGCCCAGACTCCCAGTTGGGTTGTATTCTAGGACTTACCTTAGGACCAGAGCTAGGGATGGCTGGGGGCGTTGTTCTCTGGAAGAGGGGCCAACACTAAACTGAAGGGCTACTGATGATAAATGTTTGCTTGGAGTCTGTGGACCACCCATAACGTTGCTTGGGCTAGTGATATACGCAGTCTGTAATGAAATATTTTAATGATCAGGGAAGAAATAATTTCTTCTTGCAAACATATAATCTGATTTTGTGGGTAACAAATTGGCATGGACTGAAATTACAATTAGGTTGCATACCGTCTGCCCCTGATAGCAGGACAGTGATTAAAGGCAGTAGAGGAGTGGGCTTCATAGGAGAGAGAACTAACAGATGCTTAAAACTGACCTGGACTCCAGTCAGACTGGGATTTCAAAATGTAGAATAGATAAACAAGATTATACTGTATAGCACAAGGAAATATATACAAGATCTTATGGTAGCTCACAGAGAAAAAAATGTGACAATAAATATATATATGTTCATGTATAACTGAAAAATTGTGCTCTACACTGGAATTTGACACAACATTGTGAAATGATTATAACTCAATAAAAAATGTAGAAAAAAAACTGACCTGGAGATAACTCACCAAGGAGATGGGTTTTATATGGGAATCATTGAGAAATGATAATAACTACCCTTAACCCACAGTCATATGCTCCCGGGGCAAGGAAGGAGATCAGCGCTGAGAATTTCGATAGTGGCCTGACTCTGTCAGTGTCTCAGGGGTACTGTAGAATCCTAGAGCTGGGAAAGGGACACAGGAGGGTCATTCTCCCTGCAACCCATCTTGAGACAAGTAAGCAAAGTTCTGCTTTAGCAGAATATCCCAGCCCCCTCCCCATTTTTAGAGCCTTTCAACAACCTGACTTATTTTTCTCTTTGTATTAAAGGATAAACGGGGGAACCTGCAGGAGCATGAACAGTCAGCCTTACGGGACCACATGCTTCTGGTTTTAGAAAAGAACTTCCAATTAGAAGAACAGGTAAATATTCCAGGGCCCAAGTATAAAGAGCGGCAACAGAATTGCTGGGATTTGTCCTTGTTGGTATTTTTACATTCTCCTCTGCTTCAGTATGTCAACTAGAGGAAGATGTTTTTCTACCAGTGGCCAGACTCATAGGATTATAGAGCATTAGAACTGGAAAGTGCCTTTGAGATCTTTGGGTCCTATCAGCTCAACCAACAGATGAAGTAACTAAGCTCAAAGAAATTGTGATATGTTTATAACTTGTAAGTGGCAGAATTTAATCTCAAACCCATGTCCCCTGATTCTCAGTCCAGTGCTCCCCGTGATATATCAGCCAGCCTCTCTGCAGCCTATCCACACACCTTTTGGTTATTACCTGGCACCTAATAGGTACCGAGTAGGTGTTTGGCATTTTTCAATGAAATCAGTAATTATCATGAAACAACATTTGACTCTGTGCTAGCTACTATGAGTTTTATATATTTCGTAATAAGTCTTAACTTGTTCACTTTGTAACCTAATAAATACATACATACATTAATTATTTTACTGAATTGTGATGATCAAGTGAAATTATGTGTGCAAATGCCAGCCGTAGTCCCTGGAGTATTCATAGTGGACCTCAATAAATACTGATTCTATTGAGTAATTATTCTAAAAGTTCATTATTTTGTTAGGACATGTCAGAGGATCAGACTTTTCAAGCCCACATCTGCAGAGAGGAAGCTGAATTTTACTACTGCAGATTATTTTATGGTGTCTGATTTCATATTAAAGTAGGTATGTGAGTTCCAGGGACAGATCGTGGAGAAAATTTGAAAGACTGATTCAATTGTAACTGGTAGAAGGCATGCTGCCAAGAAACCACTTTCATATTCTTTCTGCAACATTTGCTTCATTCATTCATCCACTGATTCAACAATACCATCCATATGTCAGGTTCAAGGCTACTTGCAAGGGATACTGAGTGGAGGAAGACAGCATCTCCCCTTGAAGAGCTCACAAAATGTAAACAGATAAGATGCTGTGAGTCATGGACACGTGAGGAGGGTGCCCTGTGTCGAAGTACAGAGGCCTTAGCAGTTTGCTCTGTGGGAGTTGGGGAAGGCTTTTTAAGATAGCACATCTGAGCTGCATCTCGAAGGAAGAGAAGGATTCTCAGTGAAAATGTGGAAACAGGACATTGCAGAAGTGGAAAGTTTGTGCCAAGGCAGAGAGGCATGAGAGAAGTTTAAGGAACTGGGGTTTGGGGGCTGAGAGACACCGAGTGTGAGACAGGGAAGTGGAGACTGGTATGTTTGGTCCAGACCTGCAGGGGCCTTCCACATAAGCAAAGGAGTTTCAAATACTCTACATTCAGTGATTTTTTTGTGTGATTTATTCATATTCTGCCCTATTTCAGAAAGAATTTAAGGGCCAAAGTTTGAACTAGTATTTACCAGTAATAAGGGGCTGATAGAGGCCAGTTAATTGTTTGGCTTTAAAAATAAGACAGCTGGTGGTAGTATGGAAGATGGATAGAGGGAGAGGCAAGAACAAGGACAGAGGGACCAGGCAGAAAGATGCTGCAATAAACTAGACAGGGTAGCAGAAGAGCCTGGAAATTGATGAGGGAGGGCTCAGGAGCCGGAATGCCTGAGTTCGAGACCTGGCTCCACACATGTGAGTTTGGAGAAGCTACTTACCCTCTCTCTTCCATATTTTCCTTATTCATAAAATGGAGTTTTAGTAAGGGTCAAATTATATACATAGGCTCTTAGCACAGTGCCTGGCACATAATGAGCAGTTCAGTATCGGGGTGGAAGCAAGATACTGGGTGTGGTGATGGTGAAGGTGAGTACCACAAAGTACCGACTGACATACCACATGAGATGTTGTTTAATAGGTGCAAACTGAATGAAAGAAGAGAACTAGTTCAGTAAATTTAGTCAAGTGATGCCACTATCATTAGATGAACTTTTAAAGTGGGTCACATATAGAAAAGGCTGATGAGAACTCTGTGGATTTTTTTGAAGCACCTGCAAACATTTTCTTAGGATTATATAGTAACCTACATGTAAGTATTTTCTGTAAATGTATGTGTATATTTTTCATAGAAATAATTTTTTTACTTGCAATATTTTCCTAGAATTATATTTAAATTATTTTAACTTGTATGCATGCCTTTAAATGACCTCATTCATATTCCTGTTATTAGATTTCTGACTTATATAAGAGCCTAGAACAAAAAGAAAGTAAAATCCAGCAGCTAGCAGGAACTGTAAAGAAATTCGAAAAGGAATTCAAGCAGTTTGCACAGTTGTTTGGCAAAAATGGAAGCTTCCTCTCAAATACCCAGGTGAGAGCTGGCCTTTCTAGTCAGAGCCAAGATTTAGCCTTCAACTGGCCGTGAGGGGTTTTCTTTTGACTTTTGCAATGGAAATAATTTCAAACATGCAAGAATAAGATGGTGCAAAGGACACCTGTATATTCGCCAGCCGGATTTGCCCACTGTCAGTATTTTGTCCTATTTGCTCCATTCATCCCCCTCCTCCTCCTTGTTCTTATTCCTCTGCCTTCTCTGTCCCTGTTCGTCTCTCCCTCCCTCTCTCCCTCTCTGTGTGGGTGTTCTTTCTGAACCCTTTGAGAATAAGCTGCCTATATTATGGCCCTTTCCCCCTAAATACTTCAGTGTGTATTTCCTAAGAATAAAGATCTTCTTTCACAGAACCCCAGTACACTTAGCAAATCAGTACGTGAAACAGTACAATACTTTTATATCATTTATGGTGATTAGGATTTTAATTAATGTTGGGCCAATATTAGTCACTTGAATTCAAATTCACTGAGAGCATCTGTCGTTCTGCATTTTGTAGTCAACAAAGTGAAACTGTTCATTCCCTTGGGAAGACAATGCTTTAAACATCACTAAAATATAGCAAAAATTACTTTGTAAATCATGAATGTTAAATAACCATAAACAAATTTCCTAATGAATAACGTCTTCATAGTGATTAAAAAATGTATAGTGAAAAGATTTCAAGATGTAGCATGGGCAAGATTTTTGAAATCTGGATTATTCCATAAAATGTAGGCCATATATTCACACATTGCCAGCATCCTGTGTTTGTATGTATGTGTGTGTGTGTGTGTGTGTGTGTAAAACCATCATGTTATATCTCAATTCTGACCTTTTTTCTAACACAAAAACCAGTCAAGAGTGAAGGCACTGAGGGAAAGGGTGGAGGAGAAAACAGCTGTAGTTTTATTTAATCCCTTCCACGTAAAGAGAGCAACCAAATGTGCAGGCCTTACCTCAGGGCACTTCTGTACCACCTGGAGAGCTCAGGCCAGAACAGAGCATTCCCTGCCTTCCAGAAGAGCAGGAGTGGATTGGAAGAGTATCATCGAAGAAGAAAAGGAAGTAGTAAGAGGAAAGACAAGGAGAGGACAGAAATATAAAGACAGGTTGGAGAACCAAGCAGGGAGAAACTGGGGGAGGAGTAAAAGTCAGATGAAGAGCAGTTCAAAGAAACAGGAGCTGAGATACGGCAGAGGAGGAGGAAGGCATTAAGTGATTCATCTCTCTGAAATCCTCTCTGCATTTTCTCTTCTGGACTGTGCCTTTTTCATTTCATTCATTGATTAATTAAAGGTGAAATGTTTGAGCTGAAAAATGTAATCTCAACGACTTACTAAGATATTAACTCAAGTTTGTTTGACTTGATCCATCTTGTCCTAAAAGGTTCTTGCCAGTCACATTGACAAGTCGGCTTGGCTAGAAGTTCAGGTGCGTCAATTATTGCAAATGGCTAACCAGCAACAAAGTAAATTTGATCTGAGGCCTTTGGTGGAAGCGATTGATACAATGAAGCAGAAAATCACCCTGCTGGAAACCAATGATCAGAGATTACGTATGTATAATGTTTTCTACTTCTCTTTTGGTGATTCATTACTTCTGCATGTGTTCATGAAACAAGCAAACACCTGGTCGATGGAGAGTCACAGCTGTCCAGGATCAACAACGGCTGAATCTGGTATTTGTGAAACAGAACAGCATGGGATTCTGGCCACCCAGGCAAAAATGACAAAGGGCCATGAGCGGGAGCCGGAACAGGCAATGGATGGAAATGGGCCAGGAAATTCCAAGAACAGGGAGTGATGGTTTTTAAGGAGTAGACAATAGTGAGAAGGCTAGGGGAAAGATGTGGTGGGAACATTGTTTTAATTATAGAAGAATAGAGAAGGGTTTGGCTGTTTAAAAGCATTCCAGTTAAAGAGCGGTGGGGCTCATCATGCAAACACCTGCTGGCTGAATGCTGAGTGTGCCTTCTGGAGACTCTGGAGAGCTTTTGTTCAAGAGGCTGCACTTGGTACCACCCTTGCCACGGCACAAGATTCACCGAGTTGGTATTATTAACATGAATGGTCCATTGGTGAACACTGAATTCAGTTCATCTTCAGAATGTCAGAATTTTATTGGTTCTATTCAGATAACAAAATTCCACTTTGGGTAAATTCTAAAGACAACTTTAAGGCCTTTAGAACCTTGTTTTTCTTTGCAGTTGTTTTGGAAGGAGAGACTAACAAGCACGACGCCCACATTAATATCCATAAAGCACAGCTGAGTAAAAACGAAGAGCGATTTAAACTGCTAGAAAGTGCCTGCTATAATGGAAAGCTCATCTGGAAGGTGACAGACTACAAGCTGAAGAAGAGGGAGGCGCTCGACGGACACACGGTATCCATCTTCAGCCAGCCCTTCTACACCAGCCGCTGTGGCTACCGGCTCTGTGCTAGAGCATACCTGAATGGGGACGGGTCCGGGAAGGGGACGCATCTGTCGCTGTACTTTGTGGTGATGCGGGGCGAGTTTGACTCACTGTTGCAGTGGCCATTCAGGCAGAGGGTGACCCTGATGCTTTTGGACCAGAGTGGCAAAAAGAACCACATTGTGGAGACCTTCAAAGCTGACCCCAATAGCAGCAGCTTTAAAAGACCCGACGGAGAGATGAACATTGCTTCTGGCTGTCCCCGCTTCGTGGCTCATTCCACTTTGGAGAATGCCAAGAACACCTACATTAAAGATGACACCCTGTTCTTGAAAGTGGCTGTGGATTTAACTGACCTGGAGGACCTCTAGTCACTCCTGGGGTGATAAAAAGACTTCCTGGATCCAGAAGCTTTGGTTAATGTAGTGACTGAATCTAGACTCAGTACACACTTGTGTTTGGCTTTTTGCCCTTAATGGTTGAAGTCAGTTTAAGATTTCTCAAGTGCTGTCTTCTTTTTACATTTCACTCTGTCTCAGTTTGAAACTTACAACACTTAGAATATCTCCTCGTTATTTATATTTTTTTGTATCACTTGAAAGATGTTAACTTTCTTGAATGTAAGGTCTGGGGCATATCTCTTTTACTGGTGCTTAGCATGGGGTCTCAGTGTAGGCCCTCTATAATATTAAGAGTTATTGAGGACACAGAGGTAGAATTTCCAATTGAAATGGTTTGGCATTTTATTGTTTATGCCTGCTAATTCTAGACCTGACCTTAAGCTTGCAAAAACCATCTTTTAGGGTAGGCTGTTCCAGTTAGTTGGTAGTGTACTTCAAATGATGGGCTGTGTACTTCAAAGGTCAATATGCCCAGTCTGGACCAGACTTTTTCTGGTTAAATACTGTATTTGTGGAAATTACTATACCTCTAATATTTTCATGAAATTTACCAGTAGTCAGCAAGTCAACAAATTTGCAAGGCTGCATAGGAACTGGTGAATAGAGTAAGCATTTTCATTCCCCTGCTGAAGTAAAGCAGAAAGTACTGCTATATATGTATATCTATATAGTGCATTATATATACATACTGCATTTTATATATATATGTACTGCAGTGTATGTATGTATGTATGTGTGTGTGTATATATATATATATATATATGAGAGAGAAGGAGCCATTCAGCTAAAGTTCAGATTTTATTAGGTTCAACCATGCAAAAAAAAATTGTTTTCAAACAAAATATTAGCAGTTTCATAAGATTCAACTTAATAAATAATATATGTACATGTATACAAATAGTTTAAAAGTATTGTGGTAATAATAAATTAATGTGAGGATGGGCAGAATTAGTATGTGATGGAAAAAATATATCATAAATGGATAAGAAGAATCTAAGACCTGGGGAGAATGCTCTTACAATTTCCTATGGGTGTTAGGAGTACTCCCATCCAAAACTGATGGCTAAAAACAGTATTTCCTGGTTTTGGGGGGGAGAAATCTTGAATTCATAAACTGGTATGAAAACAGGCACTTATATAAACTTGTGACATTTCTTGTTGAAGTCCTGAGTACTTTGTGAAGAGCAGAAAGGATCATGTTCTTCTGCACTTACCTGTATGGGTCTGAGAGGGTAAATACAAGCTGAGACTAGCCCTTCTGACTCTTGATAAGCCTTCTGACTTAACGAGAAACCACCCAGTCTTCCCGAGCCCTAACTCGTTATGGCACTGAGCCCCCACTCCCCCCACGTGGCTGGTTCCCTTGAGCGTGTAAGGACGAGTGCTGTGGGCTGAGGGCCACTTCGTGCCGTTCACTCAAGTGATGACCACGCACCTTACAACTCATGACCAGTTAACCAAGGAGAAGCAGCATGATTTATACCTGTGGCTTCTGGAATAATTGGAACTTTAAAAATCTCTTGTATGAAATTCAAGATGCTAAGGACTCATACTGCAGAAATCACCCCAAAGGGTTAAATTCAAAGAACTAAGTTCCCAGTAGAAATATGCTAAAGACGTACACTGGGTGAACTCTGGCACAGCTGACGGTCAGCACCTCCCCGCAGACAAACTCAGGAAGCTCAGACCACACAGCCGGACGCAGGTGGTTCTGTGTGTGCTTGTTTTCAGCGTCTCTAATCAAGCCCCAGTCATCCTTGTGCTCCTAAGCAATGGGAGATCACACGTTGTAACCAGTTTTAAGTCGTTGATGAGAAAAACATTTTTAAGGTGAATTTATCAAAATATGAGATTTGTGTTTTAACCAACTTTTCTACATAAAAAGTTTAAGTCAAGGCATGGTTTGTGACTTTAGGGTCTCTTCATCACTGAAACAGTGATCAAGGAACGAGGTATTCTCAAATAAAAAGCACCTCTTTCTCATAAAATAAGAGTTGTGATTTTTGTTTTAAGGAAGTGGATACATGTAAACTATCTTTCCTCTTATTATCTGAACAGTTATTTTTATTCTGTATCAGTAAGATTTCAATTTTTATTTCCATTTTGGTCTGATTTCAGTTCCTGATAAAAAGAAAACAATACACTAGACATAAAAGGGGAGTTAACAATCTTGAGAAAGGTCTGTGCAGGATTGAAATATGGTGGTGAGGTGGGGTACATATTAATGCACACAACATCTGAATTCTGACCCCTGCTCTCCAAATTTCAGATTTTCAGAGAAACAAGGAATAGTCACAAGGTGAATTCCCACTGCCAGTCCTAAATGCACACAAATGGGACAGAGAGCCACGAACCCTCTGTGCGGTCCCTTGGACAATCAGTCCACACTGTGGCTACCTCTCTTCTCTTGAGAGTGGCTGCAGACATGAGTCTCAATCTTACACAAGAATTCTGGGCTGGAGATGAAGTTTTGATGGATGCACAGGAGGGGATCCAGGTGGTGAAATCCCCTGGGAACACATTTTAGTGGAGGAAGAAGAGGAGACTGCAAAGCATTTGGAAGAGGTCAGAGGTAAGAGAAGTACCAAGGGAGGTGGGAAGAGAACAGAATGTTAGCAGGGCCAAAAGCCCCTTTCTCAGCCAGGGCAGATTGTGGCGTTTATAACTAAACAGGACTGAATCAAGCTGAGACCTGAAAGACGAGTGAACTGTGGGACGAGCAGGTGGGATGAGAATTCCCGGCAGAGGGCACTGAGGAATAAAAAAGTTGGTTTAAGGAACTGAGAAGATTGCAGTGTAGTGGGAGTCCAATAGAAGAGGGGAGAGTGCCACTTGCTGAGGTTATAAAAGGAGGCAGGGTCCAGAATCTAGTGCTGAGATTAGAGCAAGGGGTTTGTGGTTTATGTAATGTGAAATGAAAGTTGACCTGATTTTGGCAAGGGAATGCATGATCTGATTAATGTGTTCTAAAGAAAACTGCTTTGTGTAGAGCACTGATAAGAAGCGGACAAGAGAGGACATGGGAAGAGTATTAAGGTTACATCACACTGCAGTTGTGTTTACATGTCTGTGCCCTTACTAGATCATAAGCTCCTTGAAGCCAAGAACTATGTCTAATTCGAGTGCACAGAAGGTGCTCATTGTATTGAACTGAACTGTATATAAACACTTATGCATTGAATCTTTGTAACAAATCTGCTAGGCAGGTATTATTATTATGCCTATTTCATAGATGAAAAAAAAACTGGTGATTAGAGATCTTTGTGCTATGGGCTAGGCACTGTCGTAAGGATTTTGCACACTAAATATACATTAACACACTAATCTTCACAGCAATCTTATGGGGCATATGCTATTTTATCTATTTTTATAGACGAGATTAAACAACATGCTGTTAAAAAACAAGTGGGTCAATGATGAAATCAAAGTTGAAATTAAAAAATACCTTGAGATAAATGAAAATGAAAATACAACTACACAAAACTTATGGGACGCAGCAAAGGCAGTGCAAGAGGGAAGTTTATAGCGATACAGGCCTTCCTCAAAAAAGAACAATCTCAAATAAACAATCTAACCCACCAGCTAAAAGAATAGAAAAAGAAGAGCCAAAAAACCCAAAAGTCAGCAGAAGGAAGGAAATAAAGATTAGGGAGGAAATAAATAAAATATTGATTAAAAAAATAGAAAAAATCAAACC